TCTGGTATGTGTGAAACATTACTATCTGTCAGTCATGGTGCCAGTCCTTCACATGTGTGACTTCACTCAATCCTCACCACACTCTTAGAGCAGAGGTGCTATTACTCCCCCAGTTAAAGGTGTATAACTAAACTCAAGGTATTAGAGAAAGTGCGACAGGCTGAGAATACAAATCACGCTTACCTACGTTGGTAAACTCAACATTAAAAAGTGTAATGTGTTTACTCTTTAATAACCTTTCTAAGCGCTCCTGTCTTTTCTTTTCCCACACTCCCAACACTTTCCACCTGTATTTATTCCAGGACATTTATTATTATTATTTACATGTTGGCCACTTATTAGTTCCCATAGCATGTAGAAGTCATAAGAATACTGGCAAGTTTGTAGTTTCTTAGCAGCAATGAATGAAGCCAGCCTGGACCTGGCCCCCTAGATACCAGGTGGGAAGAGAGGCTGTAACCAGATGACTACACAAATGCACCATAAAATCCCAAATGATAGTCTCTATGGAGACAAACTTCAGGTGTGGGTGATACATTTGTCTCTAGTTGTCATGTGAGTACATTTAAGCCAATATTATATCATTGTGAACATGCTTGCGACTCGACAGGCATTAAGTATGACATTGGGACATTAAAGGAATGGTTTAGGCAAGAAATTGTATTTTTAATCAGAAATTGAAGTCAGCCTTATAGAAATGGAATTGTATCAATTTTTGACCTTATGGCACAAGTTCCTGGGAGATAATGTAAATATTTTGAAGAAAAAGTAAAATTGACTTGACAAGGTTGTCTTGGTATGTATTTCTCAACTCGGGAAAGCACTTATTCAATGTGATATGATTTTGACGGTGTTTAGAATACAGCACATTTTATTCAAATTACTCCCAGATGCAAACTGTTAACTGGGGGCCTGGAGAGACAAACAAGTGCCCCAGAGTTCTGATTACCTGCAGATGCTACATTCTATCTGTCCCACTGGCATCTGTTAAGAATAAATATTTAACGAATGGTCTTTACAAAACACATAGAAATGAAAGGCCCAGGTATGGCAGTTTTGATTTTTATGAGAGAAGCATCCATTCAGCTAGAAAATGACTATGACATTTTAAATCAGTTTTAGCCCGTTCCCTTAAGTGCTTCTGACTTGATAGCCAAAACCAGAGTAAATGCTCAGAGTGGCTGACATCTTAGAATGATGCTGTAACTTAGTGATTCAAGAAGTACTACAGAAAGAAATAAATGTGAAAAAGGACATGTTGATTGGTACAAAACCTGTGTGTAGCTATAAATAATATCATAAAGAGATATTAAATTATTTGGAAACATTAGGAATTACAGGCAACCTTTTTTGTTTGTTAATTTATGTCATAGTTTGAGTACCTTACTAAACTGGAAGTGAATTTAGTTATTGAGATAGACTAGGATACATCAAGATGGGGTGGGGAGGAACGTCCATTTGCTCACCTCAAGTATTAACATTTTAGTGTCAATTTACAGTGCTACCCTAAGAGCATGTCGGCCATGGGGCTTGCTGGCACGACCATGTCAGCACAACCCTTACCTCAGTATCAAGACTTTTGAGCATGTAAATTGGGTAGTGCTAATTAATGTACAGCTTGGTTCTAGTGATGAGAGATGCTATGTGAACATTACACTAAAGTAGTAAGAAGTACTGCTTCAGGAATTTCATGAATTCTGCCTCAAAATATGCCCAGCATTGAACAGGGAGAATCAATGTCTCTTGACTGCTGAGGTTTTCTCCTCTAGAAGAATAAACAGGGGCAAACAGTCATACCTACAGTTAGCGGCAGCCTCACTCTTGCTGAAGTCTGTAGAACAGCTGTTCTGAGTCATACTGCAGTTTGGCTCTGTAATGTTCTAATGGCCTATGGATGCTGGGGAAGGTTGGATTGCTACCTACAGAACTACTGGCTGATATAAGTTCTATAGGGGTGGCATTTAGGGACTGTCCTTGTCAGTATGTCCCTGAGGATGTACTGAGACCCAACCCTCACTTCTCCTTGGCTTCCTCTGTCACTCTCCAGTTTCCTGCTACCACAGACCCTAAGGCAATGCAGATAGCACATCAATGACCAAAGCTAGGAGGCAATCTTCTCTCCTTGTAAAATGCATTCTGCTACGGTGACATAAAGCTGTCTGGCACATCCTTACCCCAAACCCTGAAGATTTAAACTGCTCTGACTGAACAACATTTCTTTTGTTCTAAATTCCTGCTCTCCTCAAAGCACCTTTTCTTCTCCTGGTCCATTTGTTCTTTGCTCCTCTGCTTGACTACAGCCTATTGGATAGACACTGAAAGAACCCTATTGATTGGGATATATTATCCAAATACCTTTGGTTCACTCAAGACTACATATAGCTAAATATATACATAAGGTGTCAATTATGCTTATCTTGATGCAATTTTGATAAAACAAGACATATTTTATTCTTACAATAGTTGTACCTTAAATTATAGTACTTGTTGCCCATTTAGTAATAACATTATATTTTAAATTACTTATTTTCACTTTGATTCAATTATGCAGTCATGTTTTAATTACCAAAAATTCCATAACTGAGTATTGTTTTATATGTATATCCAATTTTGAAAGTAATTTAGAAAAAAGTATAGTACTTTAAGTAGTGGAAAGGCATAGTTTAGTTCTAAAACTAATCTTTTCTTTTTAACATTAATAAAACACAACTGGACTGGTTCCTCAACCTAAGACTAAGCATCATCCAATAAAAATGTTCTATTAAGATCCCACATCCTTGGGGCATGATTTCAGTCACATGCCTTCATAAGCTTAAGATGGCATGTTTTGCAGAAGACTGACAAGACACTTTCCTAACGGTTATGTACTACAGGGACTAGAGAACTTAACAACACCACAAATAAAAAGACTAAAGAGCCTAGGGCCTTCTAAGGCCAATTAGTCACGAAGAGACTTGGCCTAACCAAGCGAACTCTGGCTCACCAGGACCACAGCGGAGCAGAGGAAATCACTTGCTAACCAGTCTCCTTGAGGCTACAGGACAAATAACTGTGTGGCCATTGCTTCAAAGACACAGCACATGGGCAAGAACTGCCTCTAAATGAAGAGGACTTGAAACAGCCACTTGCTGAGAGGTGAGGAAGGACACAGGACACACTGTGGCAGCCTTACTGCCTCGTACTAAAAAAAAGTCCTCTGCTCTGCTGTTGGTCAGGCACCTAGTGAGGTGCAACATGTTGCAAGATGATTTTTCTACATAGGGCTGATACAATGTTGTGTCTTGACAGCTCCCTAGGCTGCCTCCTACAACCCAGCCTACGACTGCTGTCCTCGGTCTTGCCCTACTCTGAGTGCTGCAGGTCTGATTTCTCTCAGGTGCCTACAGAATGAGATTAAAACCTGTGAAGACTTCGTACAAGACTCAGCCTGCCTGGCTCTTATCTTCACAGCTGCCTCTCCTTTCCTTCCAACCGGTTTCCAGCACACCCCGCCTCAGCCTCTGGGCCTAAACACTGACTCAGGCTTACTCTGAAAAGCTGCCAGTGTCAGCCAGAACAATTCCTTCTCTTATTAGGCTATTCTCAACATCTGGCTAGTGTCAACCCAGGCACTCTACTTACATATGCATTGCAAATGTCTCTTTCTGCAACCACTGAATCTTAAGAGGCTCCACCCCCATGCCTATAGGGGAAATAAAGGTTTGTTCTCAGTGAGAAGCTTTGGAGCTTTAGGAGGCAAGAGTTTATGGCAAGCCTTCAGGTCACTGGGGCTATGCCCTTAGAAGGGGACCTTGGAACTCCAACTTTTTCTCCCACCCTCTTGTGCTGTACAACCATGAGATGAGTAGTTTTACTCAGTTGGTTCTCCTACACAGGCACAAAACAACCATGCTAAAGGACCCTGGACCAAAATGTCTCACACTGACCAACAGACAACAAAAACGTGTCCCCTCTATAAACTGACTATCATAGGGGCTTGTCACAGTCACAGAAAACTGGCAAACATACCTTTATGAGACTGTTTTGAAGCAGACTGTGTCACACTTGTTTGTCACTTAATGTATGTAAAGGCCAAGCACATGGCAACATTCTGCAAATAGTGAATGAGTGACATTTTATACAAATTTGCTCATTATAGAAGGTTGAGAAAAAGGAAATTGAGACCACCGAAAAAGTCAAGCTCCTTATTAAAAAAGAAACAAAGTTCTAGTATTTACGTAGCATTTGGTAATAGTGATGACTGTTGATATGTTTATAAAAAGATAAAGATGTATAGACTATGTTCTATGGGGGTGTGGTGAGGTAGTATGGGGGAAGGGAGTGCCTTGGTGGGCCCATGTCAAGGCATCCCTTCCCTTGAGGGACCAATTACATGCGACGATATAATATAGAATAGAGTTTATTCAGGGCATGGGGAGGGGAGTTAAGAGAGTAGTAGAGGCAGAGAGGCGGGGAAGGGAGGAGACAAGAGGAGAAGAGGGGAGGGGAAGAGAGGGGAGGGGAGGGGAAAGGAGGGGAGTGGAAGCCGGCCATGAACACGTCGAGAGAGGGGGAAAGGAACAGGGAAGGAAGGGGGGAAGGGAAGAGCCTAAGAGGGCAAGAGAGAAACAAGAGAACAAGGGAGAAAGAGAGGGAGGAGGGGGCAAGCGGTCCCTTTTATAGTGGGTCAGGCCTACCTGGCTCTTGCCAGGTAACTGTGGGGGTGGAGTTTAGACAGAATGCTAACAACTGTCACTCTAAAACTTGGTCTTTCCATTAAGTCATTAAATGAATTTCCAACATGATTAAATTCAGAGAGAAAACTTCAGTTAAATTCTCCAGTGATCTCTTAACATGGGTCTCCCCAGGCCACATGTCAGAATCATGGGGAGCATCCACTTACCTAGGGCTCGGACAAGGGGGTGAGAGAAGGAAAAGCCCATGTCATGCCCCACCACCAATCAGTCTATCCTGCTCCCATCCTGTGACCTTTAACCTACCAGTCTGGAGAGCACACTTACTTTGTATCTGCTTTCTGATCTGGATGGAGTGGGGATATGTCCTTTTTTCTTAAAGGTTGTGAAGTGTTTACATTGAGGGCAGGGCTTGGTGCTGGAGTCAATTCGGCCGAGTTCCAAGAAGTACTTATACTTGATGGAGTCCTCATGGGTTAAGTTGTAGACAACCGTTGTTTCCTCAAGGAATTCGAAACACTCTGTGACTGGGCATTTGATTTCTACTTGGCCAAGCTGTACCTGTGTGACGAAACAGAAAAGAAAAAGACCACTGGTTATTAAGGTTGTTTTTGCATACGGTGTCTTTGTATATAGATTATATAATTATCTCGTGCTTTCAAGAAAAGATTATCAACTATCTTTCCAAATAGAATAACAAATACTAGTCATTTTGAAACCTATACTAAGTACCAAAACCACTAATGAGGATCTGTAGGATGCTTAAGTGTCCTCTGATAAGTACATTTGTGAACCTGATGATCCACGGGCTCATTAAAGAAGCAGTAGTCTATCTACTGGCTTGGAAACTGCAAGGTAAGAGGGCATCAGGCAGAGAGCCAGCTACTTGATATGCAGACGACTGAAGACCCTGGGACCAACCAACCAAGAGGCAGTTCAGAGATTTCAACTTCACTGCAGTTTTCAATGCTATGCTTTGGGAACATTTTTAGAAAGAGAAAATGTTATAAAGTGCTGAAGTTTAATAGCTATTAGTTTATAACAGCCATGACCTAAAATTAATGTTTTCTGTGAACCTCCCTTGACAAACACATAAATACCTCTGATGTTATCACAATCTTAGAAATAAGTAAGAAAAGAAACTAAACACCTTTCTTTGGTATAGGAAAAATAAGAAAAGTCTGGGTTGTTATCAACCTAAGGATGTGAGTTCAATCCCCAAGACCCACAAAATAGAAGAAGAGGACTAACTTCCAAAAGTTGCCCTCTGCCCCCACATGCATACTTTGGCACAAGTCTCCTCTCTTATACACACATACACCAAATGAAGGAATATAAAAAAGCTGAAAATACGTTGGTGTTATTATGCCATTTTAAGTACAATGATAAAAATCTTATAACTATGAGAAAACATATCAACAAATGAATATGGTGGAAGATATTTTAAAAATAAGCCTGTTTGTGACATATTTTATACAACTTTCATGTAAAATTATAGGGTAATTAGTACTTTAACAGTCTACGGATATACTGGCAAGGGCATTTACTTAAAGCTGGCCAGACTCTTCTAAGATTTTATTTTCAGTTGTTCTTTACAGCCATGTTTTCCCTCTTCTCCAGACCATGTGGCTTTCATCTATTTTCCCCTCACTCTTCCTGTGTTCTTTTCTCTTGTGGGTGGGTATGTTCTGTTACTCAGAATGTCAGAATAGCATATCAATGTCAGAGTTGTAATTGCTTGTCATGTGAGTTTCAAGTGTCACCCTTCCTCTCATGGGGTGAGTGTGTGTGTGTGTTTGCGTGCACACACACACCCTGGCTAGACTCACCCATCACTACTCTGGAAAACATCCCAGTTCCCCTTTATTCTAAGTTTACTTTCTTGAAGTTACTACTCTTAAAAATGAATTGTGCTAACATCTCCCGTTTCAATCATTTTCTGTCATGTTTAATGTGTCTGTCACCTAGTTCCCATTCCAAATGTGAACAGTGACATTTTTGGTGTCACTTCTCTCCCAGTTCAGCTCTGTGGTCTTCTGGATAAATTAATGTTGTAAGGTATCAGGACTAAACTAGATTTTCAGACAGTTTCACTTTATAACCCAGGTTGGTCTCCTTTGCTCAGCCACCTTACTGCTAGACATCCTTCTACCACTGGCTTTCCAACTATGTTTTCTAGTAAATTATTTTGAATTATGCCTAAAGAAAGATGTCCTTATAACCTTTCCATATAGACATAAGTACCCATGGACCAGTGAGAGTTTGGGTTTATGACATTTGTAACAAATCCTTTAAAATGATAAAATGTTCCTTTTCTCATTCTCTGGGGATATCTGTGAAGCCCTGCTCAGAACTAGGCACCGAGTTAAGTGCTCAACCTCTGCAGGTACCTATCAAGAACAAAGTAGGTAGTTAGGACCCAGACTGAAGATCTGTCAGCCTGACAGGGTGGTGTCACCAAAAGATGTGGAAAGCATGGTCACTTCAGACCTGAGAGGATCAGACCAGCCTTCTCAAAATGAGTGAAGTTCCAAGTGTCAGCTTAAAATTGTCGGGACTTAGCCAGTAAAGGTGAAACTGCTCCAAGCACACAAAACCAACACAGTGAAAGGCCTGGAGACAAATGCAGAGCTCTCTGGAGCAGGGCTGCCATGTTCCATTCACCCCGACTGCATTGACTTACACAGCAAACATCCATGTTAACTGATGATCACACCCTTAAAAGAGGGTAGAAAAATTGGATTGAACCCCAAAGTATCAGTACAGAAGAGGCTGTAAACTAATGAGCTTGCATCAGAGCACAAGGGCAGGGTGTTATGCTATCTGAGGACCCTGGAAATTTTCCCCTATAAAAATAGACAAGCATTCGGTTCTTAGCACATTGAAGGAGAATTTCTCTCATTTATTGGGTAACAGCCCATTTTAGTGCTTAAGTGCCCAGGCTACCTGTTACCAGTTTGACACTTGCATTTAACCCCCATCTTCCTTCGTTTGCATTTACTTATTTCAGCCATGTAAGGGGTAGCAGCGATGGATGCGACACTTTTATAGCTATCTGGGAACAGTCGGGTCTTAAAGGAAATGCCATGCACTTTGGAGAGTAGAACCATACCAGGCATCCCAAGGACAGGGCTATCTTGTTACTCTTTGAGCAGTGGGTGTTTATTACCTGACCACACTGGGATGCCATCCAGCATCCAGCCGGGCACCTGCTCTTCTTCAGTGGTTCTTGGCTTTCTACGAACCTATTCCATTTCCACAGACACCATATTTCCTGTAGTTTTCACTCTATTCTTTCTCAAAGCTCCAAAATCCTTACACCACAACACTGAGCCAGTGACTTCACACCTCATTCTACTGATCACAGGGAGACATTAGGCACATATTACCAAATTGCTCACTAGCAATGCCATCAGTCTACCTCCATCTGGCCCTCTCTCTTCTAGCTTTCTTAGTATAAGACGGACCTGACTTCTAGAACAAGTACACAAAAGTCCCTGGAAAAGTTTTTTTGAGATTTAAGTTTCCTAGCCTACTTTAGACTTACACCTTCAGAATTTGAATTATTTTCAGGAAGCCAATAATTGACAGTTGGAATAATGACTCAAACTTTTCGATTAACGCATACTTCCTCCTAAGAACCACACCCCTTCTCATGTACAGTGTGACTCATGACCTGTCTGACTCTTGGCAGCTACATGTATATTGTTTTCAGAGCAGTTTTCTCAAAAGATTATCTGATAAGTATCTTGAGTAGGCAATGTGTATTCATTTATTTATCCAACAATATATATTCTATTAATTCAAGGATACACTTAAATAAAAACCCTTTAATACTGAGAAAGTAAAATTTGTCTTACAAGCCATATCTGATTAGCATTAAGTTGAATTTGCAGTAATTTTATTTTTGGATGGTACATGGCCTAACAGCATATCCCACAACTCGTCACCTGTTAGATTTCTGCAAACTGTGGGCTTCACAGGGCAGGCAACCTGAAGTACTTGTAGAGATGGGAGGAGACAGCCATGCTGGGCTTATTAGAAGAAAAGAATTTTAAAAGCAGATTGCTATCTTTGCCATAATGGAGAAGTGGCAGCTTTCCACTGAGCCTGGAGAGGCTGTGCGACAGAGAAAGTTTCCACAGGCAAAGGAACCAAGGACTGTGGTTCCCTCCTGGACAGGAGGAACCTGATGTGCCTATGTTCAGAACACAGGCCAGTGGATAAAGTTTACTAAGCCTGGGACAGAATTGTGTGGAATGAAGCTGGAGTGTCAGGTAAATGGGATCATACAGGCTTTCCTGATCATATTAAGAATTCTGAATTAAACTATAAATTCAATTTGGGTCACTTCCAGGTTTTAAAAGGTGTAACATATCCCATTATTAAGAAAATAAATCATTCAAGCTCTTCTTGGAGAATGTACCTACAATACAGGAGCCAAAGTACAGGCTAAGAAAATAGTAGCTCTCAGATAAAACCTGGCTCTACCAGATGTTCAGGAATTTGGGTATCTAAGGAGGCAGGAAGTATACAGCAAATTTTGTAAGTGAGATCAATTAAGAACTTATTAAAATTGACAAAAATTATCTGTGTTTATACTGTACAACATGAAGCTTTAAAATATGGATACACTGTGGACTGGACAGCAGTGATTAGTGTTGACAGTTTTTGCAACTTGGGTGTAACATTACCACTTCAATTAGTATCTGCCCAGTGTTTTATAAAGCCTTCATTGGGAATAATTACAAACATATGGGGAAAGAGTAGATAGGCCCTATGAATCCACAAGTATTCACTCTCATATTTAAACAATTGTCAATTTATGACCAATAAATACTCTTTCTTTGGGGATGTGATTCATTTAGATCTTGCATCTCATTTCAAAGTGAATGCCCAACATCCTGTCATTTCATTCATAAATATTTTCATATGTTTCCAAGAACTAAGACATTCCTTTTTTTTTACTATAACTATGATGCCAAACATTTCCCCAAATGTCTCTTAATATCAAACCAACATTTTCAAATGCCAGCCAACTTCTGTCTATAGTAAACTGACGTTCTATGTACACATAAACTGACTTTGCATGTTTGTTGTGTTCAATGCTGATGCCACTACTTACATCACTGAAAAATATGTTCTCCACTTCTTCTAAACAAGTTCAATCTTGTAAGAAAAAAAATTACTTAACTGTAAAACAATCTCCAAGGTGTCAGGAGGGAGCATAATTATCCACTTAACACCTGAGCTACATAGCTAATTTGCCACCTGAGAGAACTCAAAAGTAATTTAGTGGCTAAGGTGAGAGGGACCTCTGAAGTGGTAGATTAATTAATTAAATTCCCCAAAGAAAAGGATGGAAAAGGTACAATCTGGGGTCTGGTTTGGACCTTGGTATTAAGTGCTAGATAGGAGACTTTACAAGGTGTTTACAGCCTTTTGCCTAATTGATAACAAAGGACTGTATTGTCTATATCCTGACCAGTGAACAACAGCATCAAGACACTTTCAGCATTCACTAACTCACGGAGTGCTGTGGAGCACTGCACAAACGCTTT